CTGTTACGGGGCTGACGAGACGTGAGACATGCGGATCCATGTGCAAAGCTTTATTAACAGACATGGTTAAGGACAGGCAAGAGTCAGACAATGGCAAAAGGTATATAGAGGGCAAGACACAAGAATAATCCTAGGGCTAGCCAAGGTCAATGAACGGCAAACAGAATCAAAAGGGCGAGACTAAAGGGATAAATCCAGGAAAACAAGCAAAGATCAGAAACCGAGAAAACAGACAAGGCTAGGCAAGGCTAGGCTAGGCTAGGCTAGGCTAGGAAGCTAACGAGGGCTCTGTAGTGTAGCTATCACTGCTGGTGATAAGCGCATACAATACTCGGCAGGTGAAGGGAGTGAGATAGAGTGTTAAATAGTGAGTGAGTGATATGATACAGCAGTGTGCAATCAGTGCTGTGTGCAATCAGTGTAATGAATGATGAGATATGTAGTCCGGGGTGATATGCAACAGTGTAGTGCGAGAGTCAATGAAGTGGAAAGGGTGACCTCTGATGGCTAGCAGACGGAAGTTCATGGACCGGATACGTAACAATTTCCTTATCACTTCTCGCCAGACAGAGCTGTCGGCGATTCTTTCTATTGTGAAGTCATGCAATGTGAAACCCCTTGTCGCCAATCCATCATGCAATGTGAACACAGCTGCAACTGAATGCTAAACCAGATAGTCACGCAGTGTGAAAACAACAGCGATCTGACGAGTTTGAAAATCGTGCAGTGTGAACTCGGCATAACCCCTGCCCCTAAACCTACTCGTCACTGGGATGTAGACAAATCATACAAAATTATATGAGTGAGGTCGTACGAATTTGTAAGAATTAGCCACCTTGTAAAATGCATACGAATTGGTCATGAGATAGCATTGGTATATCACCTACACCTATATTGGTGTGACTTTGTTTTAATAAATAAACATGAACATATCATGCATGTTGACATCACACAAGGTAGTGTTTAAAACACATTTAACCTGGAAGCCCTCCATCAAATGAAACTCAAACAAACTCTACAGAGTGACGTTTACTCCCTCTTTTGAAAACTTCCCCATCTGCCATTGACTCAAAGAAACTCAGAATGAGAAGAGTATTTGTTGACATTATATGTTTCACAATTGTTTTCACAGACTCGAGATGCCAACTACTCAGGACGGCGAGAATTAGCAGAGAAGAACTCAAAAACGGCACGCACCCTGAATCATGTCGCTGTTGCTCTTGGCCTCATTATCATTGTAGTGTATATTATATATTACTTTGTGTTGATTAACAATATGAATCAGCGTACTTAACTGTTAGAGCTGTCATGCTTGGATGCAGATTATACAAACAAATTGAATTCTCTTCATTTGAAATGTTATTTGCTTAATGTGTCACATTTCACACAGTTAAAACATGCTGCAAAGGCTGATTATTGGATGATTAAAACAATAAAAGCTTGTCAAACAAAAAATAATAATTTTTTGTTTTTGTTAGGGTTAGGATTTAAACTAAACAAGGAAAGGAAAATGACCAAATAAGAAACACAGAAAGGCACATGAGGAGCAAAATACACACAAAACACGGACCAGAGTCTGACATAACTCCCCCCTCCCGGAAGGCGTGTCCCGCACCACAACATCCAACGGGGAGGAGGGGTGGGCAGATCTGGCAGTTCGGGGCGCCATGGTGGATCTGGCAGCTGTGGGCGCCATGGCGGATCTGGCAGTTCGGGGCACCATGGCGGAGCAGGTGACTCGGGAGGTCATGACGGAGCAGGGAGCTCGGGGAGCCATGGCTGAGCAGTTAGTTCAGGAGACCATGGCTAAGCAGCCTCTGAGGCTGCGGCCCCAGCCCCCGCCTCTGCCTCTACGGCTGGAGCCCTACTACCCCCCCCCCTCCGTGGGCCATGTCAGGGGACTGGAGCTCGGGGAGACATGGCGGAGCAGGTAGTTCAGGAGACCATGGCTAAGCAGCCTCTGAGGCCGCGGCCCCAGCCCCCGCCTTGGCCTCTACGGCTGGAGCCCTACTACCCCCCCCCCAAAAAAAATCTTGTTCCGGTTCCCAGACACACTGCCGCTCTGCCCTCCCCCAGCTGGGTAAACTCTTCTGCAATGCCTGGTGGACGGCGATGGCTCCTCCGGGTTCAGGCAGCTGGCAGGAGTCCCCCGTTCCCTGCTCCTCCCCATCATGGCAGATGGCAGCAGGCTCCGGCCTCAGGCGAACGGCGGCAACTCCTCCGCTCCCTCACGGATGGCAGCCATCCCTCCACAGCCCAGGTGGCCGGAAGCGAGTTCGTCCGCCCCCCCGGCAACTCACTCCAACCCAACTCACTCCAGCACCGCAGATTCACCACAGCGGCGAAGGATCTCTGGCAGCATGTCCCTCCTTTCTCCCGGGTTTCGTCAACAATGTAACAACATTCGTAGGTCGGGAAGAAGGAGGCGGTAATCGGCGAACATTTAAATACTTTAATAATAAAACAAACACAAAATGAAAGTAAAGCGGCAGCCCCTCGTGGATGACTGCCGCACACAAAACACAAAATAAAGTCCAGGCCTGGTCCTCTCTCATCCAACACTGTCGTCACTCCTCCTTTTATCCTTCCGGAGCTCCTCTGTGGGACTCGAGACCGGTGAGTGGTGCAGGTGTCGTGCATTAGCATTTACTCCACCGGCCTCGCTCCATTCCCACGGCTCTCGGCCCCACCCCTCTCGTCACAAAAAACATGGGAGAAGGGGCGCCACTTACTGTCTTGGTCTGGTCTTCTGTCATGACACACACACACAAGGATAACTGGAACTAAGGAGCGAGGAGACGAGGAATATACGAAACAGTCTTTAATCCATGGAACACAGGGTACATAAACACAGGAGACAGCAGGAAACACATCCACGTAACGAGTAGGCCGGACAAAAGGGAAACTGAACAGGCAAGAACTTAAATACAAGGGTAATTAATATAACACAGCTAAACGGAATCATAATTAAACTAAACAAGGACAGGGAAATTACCAAATAAGAGAACACAGAAAAGCACATGAAAAGCAAAACACACACAAAACACAGACCAGAATCTGACACCTAATTAGAAAAAAAATTATTTATTCCTTCCCTTTCTAGCTTGTACTTATTTGAATAATGCCTAAAACTTGGTATTACAAGCACTTCCTGTGTCTGTTTGCCTCTTTAAGAAGAATCGCTTTATGTATTTCCCAATTGCAAGTCGCTTTGGATAAAAGCGTCTGCAAAATGACTAAATGTAAATGCAATGTAAATGTACTTTATAAGAAATGTATTTAGTCAGAAAAGCACAACAACCAAAATTACCACAATGACAGTTGGTTCCCAGTGGTCAAATAACTTCAGCAGAAGTGAAAGTGTTTTTATTGCTCAATAATAGGTCAATAATTGCTCAATAATAATTTTATCTCAAAATAAGACTTAGGATGTCAGACTCTGTTCCGTGTTTTGTGTTTTGCTCCCCACGTGTTCCATGACCCAGTTTTCCCTCATGTTTAATTATTGTTTCATTAGTTCCAGGTGTGCCTCGTCATCCCATCCTCTAGTCATGTCTATTTAAAGTGTTTCCTGTGTTGAGTTCTCTGTCCGGTATTGTATATGTCAACCTCTCCTGCTACGTGTGTTTTCCTGGTTCCCTGGATATAATTAAAGTCTCCTTGTTGATGTACTCCTCATTCCTCACTCCGCGCTCCCTCACAGTAGCAACAATGTGACATAGAAATAATTTTTGATCGGACCTTTAATATATACTAGTGAATTCTAAACAGTACAGAGTTGTCATTCTTGTTTTGTTAAGACATTTACAAAATATGACCACCTTCTTGATCATGGTGTCTCCCCTGCCAGGTAAGTATTTTGAAAAAATGACCTATAAAAAGCATTTTGAAAAAGTGACCTATATTGAGAAATGTTTCCCAGAATGTAAATAAAAACTGTAATTGAAGGGGAGAAAGATGAATTCCCCATAACTGCCATTCTCCACTGATAATTTTGAATAATGTACATAATGCAGAGCACTGTGTCTTTTCAATTAATTAACAGTTATTTTTGTTCTAAACACAGGAAGGTTGAGTTTATAACCCATGTTGCGAGTTTAGACATGTAATGCTGACAGGAGGGATGTGGAAACTGGTTAAAAAGAGCAATATATATTCACTCTCACATGGTCCCAACAATATGCTTCCTTGTGGTGAAATACTCCTCTTGATATTCCATGTATCTGGTCAGAGTAAGTATGAGACCACAAGGTGGTGCTTGCAGTCACACAGTCACATATGATGGAAACAGTGGTAATGTCTAGACAGTCCTCTACAACCTACAACTCACCTCCCATTTGCTGACTACTTTAACTGACAAGGTATATGACACCATAGTACAATATACCTTGTACTATGGTGTCATAGTCTCATACACAAGTCTCTGCAGAGCACAAGGCAAAAGAAATTACAACCAAAATCCAATAATCAGAAGGTTAATTAAGTGCAAAAGACCACTCCAAAGACACTTAAAATAGCTGGACCTCACTACTCTCTCAAGGCTTGTTCACTCCCCCAGCGTCTTGCAATTATCATTTTCATACCAAGGACACTAAACATTCTTGCAAACTGTCTAAACTTAATTTTACATGCAGACACTCATATGAAGAGTTTTAAACAGCAAATTAGTCATTCAGAGAACAAATAAAGCAAGGAAAATAGCACTTTTAGATAAACACGTAACTGTATTTACACGTATTTAAATGCTTTGCCACTTGCTTCAGCAACTACAGTATATAAGATGTTGAATAAATACATTGCTCATATTTATTGCGTTTAAACTTGAATACATCTATGAAAGATGTATGACTTTAGAGCCTTTTCACACTGAACGTGAAAATTGGTGTGAAGGTTCGGCGCGATGATGAACAAAATACTTCTTTGCACTGCAGAGGTGGCATAGAAGCTGCATTTGTTCAGAAAGCCTGATTCATTAACAAACTGATTTGTTTGGAAATATTTATTGGCAAAATAAAGCAAAAACTGTCAGAATTTACAATCTGTTTACAAACTGTTTGTTTTGAGAAATTATTCTTCTTAATGGAAACTGGTCTCTCAGAAAAAAAGCTGTCACTGGGGCAGTTACTCTTTCAAAAGGTACTAATATTTACCTTTAAGGCAGTAATATGCACCCTTTAGGGGTAAATAAGGTACAAAGGTGTACCTTTTGACAGGGTAATGCCGTAGTGACAGATTTTTTTTTCCCTTTCTGGGAGTGGGTATTTTGTTAGGGAGTCTTTACTACCCATGCAAACTGAACACTTAACCTTTAAAAAGCTTACTGTCTGCAGATAGTGGTTTAAGGTTTAAGGTTAGAGGTCTGATGTTCCAGAAATGTTTTTGCATGAGGTTGGTAGAGAATAGGTTAACCTCAGAATGAGTCATTTTGAAAATCCGAAGTGGCAGACAATATGTTTCACATTAACTTTCAGTTTCAGATATTTTAAAGTAAAATGTTTCCTGGGGTTTTTTTCCTGTAAAATGGGTTATATTTTAGATATAAATGGTAATTTTCTACCCTGATTTTAGCCCTCTGATTTGCACTCTCCATGAGACTTCAATGTAAAAACCCATTTCTATGATTGCCTAACATCTTTGCATATGAAATGAGCATTATATGTGGATCTCTCTCGAAAACTTAAATGCCAAAGATTCCCCATCAAGTTGATATAATTCTATAACTTCATGACTGAAAAAAAAATGCTTGAGCTGTATGTGTTGTCACACAAATATGTAAGCATTACAAACTCCTTTTCTTCTAAGGACAGGAAGGTTTCGACGTGCAGTGGATGAGGATATTAAAAAGGGAAGTATTCGCTATCAAAAGGTTGCAAAAATATGCTTGGGTTTAGTGAAATTCTCCTCCTGATATTTCATGTATCTCATCATGGAAAATGTAAAACCAGAATGGGGTCTGCAGTCACATAGTATGATGGAAACAGTGATACAGTTCTTGTCTCTCCTCCCCTACAACCTACAAATTGCTTCCCATTTACTGACTGCCTTCATCAGCACAGAAAAGCCTGAACCAGAGTACAGCAACACATACGTGGCTGCAGAGCACAAGGCAAAGGAAATTACAAACAAAATCCAATAATCAGAAGAATGGATCCCAGCCAGTCCTTCAATC